CATATTTTCATTTTAACCCTATTTTCCTTGTGAAATCCCCATTTTACTCTCTATTTCTGCCAACCCACTCACTTCTCTTAAATCCATTTCTGTCTTTTCCCTTCTCCATCCCATTAAACCCCCCCACATTCCCATTCTGTTTTCATTTTGATTGAAACCGTCAGCCCCCCTCCCTCTCCATATTCTTTCACTTATTCCTTCTAGCACCCCTAACCCTCTTTTCTCTACTCTTATTCTCCCTTTTATCTTCACCCTTCTAACCTTTTCATCACTTTCATTTCTCTCTTTCTAACCTTTGCTCTCATTCGGTGATCTGTGCTTCTGCCTTTCACTTGCTGTGCTGAAGACTCCTTCCTTGGTTGTGGTATGATTCCTCTCTTCCTTTGTTCTTTATTTTGTTTTAGTTCAGTTAGTTGTTGGTCTGTTGGTTTTAGTCTGCTGTTGTGTTATTGGATTGGGTTATTTTTATGTCAGTTTGTAGTTACATAGCTCTTAGGCTACCTAATGATTCATGATGCATTTTGTTTTTCTTTAATCTCTTTACTTAATTTGAAAGTTTTTGATAAACTGAAAACCTATGAATCATTACATAGCCATTCGCTACTGTCTAGCTTGTGATTTTGGTTTTTTTGGGGTAGTGTTCGTTGCTGTCTGTTTGGTCTTTGTTTAGTGTGTTTTGTTTCTTGTGTTCAGAGTATGCCTCGTACTAAGAACCCTACACCTGTGTCTAAATTTAATTCGGGGGATGAGTATACCTTTGAGGAGTTATATCAAAAGATTGACTAGAGACCTCTCCTCAAGGAGCGACCTTTTCCCTTAGACCCCCCTGATCACCCTTTTGTCTGCCAGCTCCGTGCCTCCCAATTGACCGGTTTGGTCTAAGAGTGTTCTATAGGCAATGACGCCTTTGTTCGCCATTTTTACACCTATGCCCGATTCCATGGCTCCATGATCGTCGACTTTCTCAATGTCCGTGTCTGCCATTCCTTTACTGCTGACAACATCCGTTTCCATTACCGCCTTTCCCCTTATCGCCATTCAGGTTATTCAGCTTACAGAGACAACTACCCTTTTGATGATGTGGTCCAAACTTTAAGTCATGACAAAGCCACTTGGCATCGCCCCCGCACTACTGAGCAATACCTTAAGCGATTCGAGTTCCAACCTGAGGCTCGCCCTTGGTTGCATTTTGTCTGCAACAACCTAGTACTCATCACCCACCTAGCCAATGTTCCTAAGCGCCAAGCCCTTTACGTCTACCTTCTCATGATTGGCCGATCCTTTGATGTAGCCGACACCATTTACTCAACCCTCTATGATGCCATCAACACCGCCAAACTCACCAACAGCATCATTTTCCCCCACCTAGTCACTAACCTTTTTCGCGCTGCCAATGTCCCTGAGTACAACAATGACAGCTACTTTGAGCTAGCCCCCTTGTTTTAATATGACCGCCTTAAACAGCCTATCATTGGACCGCCTCCACCCATCTACCCTGTTTATGATGTTGGCGCAGCGCATGCAGCCAGTGCACCAGCTCCTGAAGGTCAAGAAGAATAGGAAGATCCAGAAGCTCCTGAACCTGTCACCTTGGACACCCTGGCTGATGATATCGATGAGCTGGCAGACCATGTCCACCAGATGAAGAGGCAGAAGGACCGCGATACTCTTTATGATCGAGACTGACGTTACCGCCGTCGTATGGATGCTCTGATTGCTGACCGATTGAACTTCATCCTACCTCTTGAAGAGGAAGACCCTCAGAGTGGAGCTGGAACATCTGGAGCAGGCACTTCTGGTGCAGGACCATTTGGGTCTGGGGCGGATGATATTGGGCCTCAGCAGTAGTTCTTTCTTTGTGTTTTGTTTTGTTTCTTGTTCTTTATGTTTGTTTTGAGTCGGTGTCGCTGGTTACTTGTTAAGCTTTTTAGATGATACATTGGATGTTGTTTAACTGTTTGGCTACTGATGGCCTTTTCATTTTGTTGTTACTCTTACATTGGTCCCAACTGCTATTTTCCTTCTCCTCTTTGTTTTGCATGCAACCTATCACCTTCTCCCTTCTTTTTGTGAATTCGATGTGTTGTGCTTTAATTTCAATTGGACTTCACAACTTCCGGTTCACTTTGTGATTGGTTTGTCTGTACTGGTTCAAACATTGAGGACAATGTTGTGTTTAAGTGTGGGGGAGGGACCTATTATGGATTCTAGCAAATAATTCTCATGCATCTATTTGATTTTGAGGTGTTTTTGAACTGATAAATTGGTTGAATTGTGAATATTTTGAACTTGGTTTTCTGAAGAGTTGAAAATTGCACTGAATACTGCTCTCTGTCACCTTTCACCACGGCAAACATCTAACTTCGCCGAGGAGAAACCCCTTTTGTCAGCGTTAATTTAGCTCTCAGGCATACTTCGCCGCGGCAAAGCAGGCCCTATCTCCAGGTTTGCTCTCTATGAGCCTTTGCCGCAGCAACGCCTATTCTTCGCCATGGTGAACCTTTAAAAAAAAATTAAATTTTTTTTAATAATAATAATAATAAATAATAAATGCTTTGCAATTTCAGTTGCTCTTTAGAAATTTTTCCTGGCTTAGATTCTTTATGCTCCTGCATCCTTTTGAAATTAATGGAAAGTTCAATTTGTACTTGTGCTTTTAGAAAACTTTCCATGCTTTTAAATGAGGGTTGAAGTTGGACTAGTTATTCTCATGTTTTTGACAGATAGTAAATGATGATATGCTTTGAAATTAGGACTATGTGGTTTTTAACCCTTGAGATTGATTAATTGAGATTTTAGCCTTGTTGGAAGGATTTTTTGGGCCTAAAGATATTAAATTGAGTGGATCTGCTTATTTTATATTTCTCTAGAACTTGTTTTAATTCTTAATCGAAGCTTAGTGAATCAATTTTTGTAAAGATGATAGAGGCATTCGATTTCAAACCCTCACTTCCCAAACGCAAACCCAATCATTTTACCATTGTAAACCCCTTTAGACCTTCATCTTGAGTACATGCATGCAATTATTTTGTCATTAGTGTATTCTTAAAAAAAAAAAAAAGAGGAGAGTTGCTCCAATAAAAAAAAAGAAGAAAAAAAAGAAAAAGAAAAGAAAAGAAAAGATAGAGATATAAAAATAATAAAAATAAAAATAAGTAGTTTCTCTCCTTATGTTTGTTTAGGTCAATTCTGTTTTAATAATTTGTATGCTTGTACTCATTTCCGTTTTCATTCTCATTCCATTCATTTCATTTGGCCTTCATTCAAATTCTGACCCCTAAAAGTCCTCTTGATTTGCAAAGTTTGCTTCCCGTGATGAAGAGGTAGAATTATTACAAGCCTATGGTAGAAATTGGATTGAGTAGACTTAGAGTGAAATAATCCTAAAACAAGTGAGTTAACAGCGAAACACTTATCCGTGAGATAGATCTCTTTTGATCAATCTTTTGGGTTAATTGTCCATTATGCTCACTTTCTTAGCATATCCTTGTTTTACTGTTGTCAACTCCTGTGAGAATTTCTTACTAATCTTCTGCTTTCATCTTTAAGCATGGTCGTGTTTCTCTTTGTACTGGTATCTCTTTGAATTATTTTTAAGCTTTGTCTAGGAGTACAAAGATCTAAGTGTGGGGGAATTTGATTGAGCTTAAATTATTCTTATCTTTTGATTACATCATCCATGGTTTTGTTGCATTTTCTGGCTTTTTTGGCTATAATTGAGCTTATTTTAGATTAAGAGTCCATGCATTGAGTTAGTATCTTTTTGAGGGTAAAATCGTCATAATTAGTTATTAATTGTATTCAATTAATTTCTAAGACAATTGATGCCTTAAATTGTTGCTTTTCAGTGTAGGACACCTAAGATTGGACCCAAGGTTGAAGACTCAAGGCACACAGAGCAAAAGAGGAGCCTCTGCCACCCTTCGCCACGGTGAACTCCTCGTATCAGCACATTCAAACCCGACCATTTCGGGAAAAATTGACTTGCCTACTTCCATGAACCGACCCAGACACGTAATATTCAGGTTAGAAACCTTATTTTCGGTATGAATGAGGTCACACATTGAGATCTAGCTGCCATCCACGTTTTCTCTTCATCTTCTCTCATCTCTCCTACCAGAACCCTAATCCCACACCTTCCACTATCATCTTCATCCATGGGTAACACTAAGTCAATTTCAATGGAGATGTTTCTGCACACCATAAGTGGCTAGGCTTCCTCCAGCTCTTGAAGATGGATGATTGGCATGAGTTCTAAGAGCTTCAAAAGGGGAGTTTTAGTTTCATCTTAGTTCTAGCTATGTATTTATGAATTCCTAAGTCTAGGGTTTGTAAATTCTTAGTGAAAGACTTTGATTGATCTGTAACCATTAGTTGATGATTTACATTTGTAGTTGGATTGGTTAATGTAGAATTGCATGCTTCAATATATGTGGTCACATATATGTTCTTTGTAGCTCTCTTGATTCTCTTCATCTTGCATGGTCATGTTTTGATGATGAGTTGATTTTCTGTTGCATTGAACTATTTGCATTAATCATTCTTAATTACACATTAGGGAAGCTTAACAATGTTTTCATTAATGATTTCATTAATGTAAGCATTGGACTCAATGAGTTATTGAGGTTGTTATCAAGAAAACCTAATGAATTTATAAAACTCCCAAATCTTAAGAGAACTATGATTGCCAAGAATCCATTTTCAAGAGGTTTTACCAATTGATTCAGTACTTGATTTCCATCTATTTCATCTTAATCTCCCAAAAATCCAAAAATATATTTACATTCTATTGCATTTTATCTTAATTGCAAGTCTCAGTGAAAACCCCCAACCTTTTCTAACTCAATTTGCATTACTATGGCATTTAGTTAATCTAGGATCATAATTTCGGCTCCGCAAGTGAAACGACCCGAGGTTGTGCCTATAGTACAATCCTTGGATTAATTTTTGAAATTGGCCCCAAGGTGTAAGTAAGACAAGTCAAGGCGATTTTCACTCTATCATCTCGAAATTATGAACTTTTTAACAATATAGGGTCCATCCCAGCTTGTCTTGAACTTACCCTTCTTGAATTTAAACCGAGCTTGATACCTCAACACTTTGTCGCCCTCCTTGAACTGCTTCCTCAAGATGTTGGCATTGTGAACAAGCTTGGTTTTTCGCTTGTAGATGTCTGAGTTGTTGTAGGCATCAAACCATATTTCTTTCAGTTCTTGAATTTGAAGGAGTTGATCCAGGCCAGCTTCCTCCAAATCGGTGTTGCAGCTCTTAACTACCCAGTATAATCTATGCTCTAGCTCCACTGAAATGTGATAAGACTTCCCATAGATGATCCGGTATGGAGACATTCCTATTGGCGTCTTATAGGTGGTACGGTAGGCCCATAATGCATCATCTAGTCGCAAGCTCCAGTCTCTATTAGAAGGCTTGACAATTCATTCCAAGATGCGTTTAATTTCTCTATTTGATACCTCAGCCAGGCCATTGATTTGAGGGTGGTATGGGGTGGATACTATATGGGAAACCCCATATTTAGTCAACAAGTTATTGAGCAGCTTCTTGCAAAAGTGCGTTTCCTGATCATTGATTAGCACTTTAGGTACTCCAAATCTACTAAAGATGGTAGACTTTAGAAATTTACAAACCGTAGGTGCATCATCCTTTCGTGTGGGGATGGCTTCGATCCAACTAGAGATGTAATCTACAGCTAGGAGGATGTAAGTGTAACTGTGAGAAGGTGGAAAGGGTCCCATAAAGTCTATCCCCTAAGCGTCAAATATCTCACAAAATAGGATGGGTTGTTGTGGCATTAGACCAGTAACAAAATAGTTAACTAACTGAGCAAACCATGGCCGAGAAACAACTAATGCACATAAAGACTAGTCAGGGAAGGAATCACAAATAATGTCAGAATCTAATACCCCCTTATCTCTAGTGGTAGCCTACTTAAGTTATCTGCTATATGGTTGATATTACCAGCTCTATCTTTCACTTCCAAATCAAATTCTTGTAGTAGCAACATCCATCTCAAGAGCCTCCGCTTCGATTGAGGTTTGTGGAAGAGATATTTCACTACTGTGTGATCTGTAAACACAACCACTTTAGAATTTATAAGATAGGCTCTAAACTTATTAAGTGCAAAAACAATTGCAAGCAATTCCTTTTCAGTAGTGGTGTAGTTTATCTGAGCTGCATCTAGAGTTTTAGAGGCATAAGCAATTACTTTAGAAACAGAATTCTCCCTTTGACCCAACATTGCCCCCATACTCAAATTCAAAGCATCACAGGAAATTTCAAAAGGAAACTCCCAGTTGAGAGAGGTTAAAATAGGAGGAGTAACTAGCTTATTCCTCAATTCATCAAAAGCAAGCTCACATGCATGGTCAAATTGAAAATCAACATCATTTTGCTGTAGTTTGGAAAGAGGTAAAGCAATTTTACTAAAATCCTTGATGAACCTTTTATAGAACCCTACATGTCCTAAAAAGGACCTTAACTCTTTCAAGTTGGTAGGGTAGAGTAAAGAAGATATCACCTCTGCTTTAGCTTTATCAACCTCTTTTCCTTTTTCAGAGATCGAATGTCCAAGCATGATGCCTTAATTAACCATGAAATGGCATTTCTCATAATTCAAAACTAGCTTTTTCTCAATGTATCGTGCTAAGATTTTGTCAAGACTTTTTAAACATTCTTCAAAAGAATTCCCATATACAGTAGAATCATCCATGAACACATCCATACATTTTTCAATAAATTCAGTAAAAATGGAGAGCATACAGTGTTGGAATGTGCCAGGGGCATTGCAAAGACCAAAGGGCATTCTTTTGTAGGCATAGGTTCCAAAAGGACAAGTAAAAGTGGTCTTATCCTAGTCCTCAGGGCCTATAAGAATTTGAAAATGCCCAGAATATCCATCTAAGAAGCAATAATGAAAGTGATCAATTGATCCCTAGTGGATTCATTCAGTTTCCTATAGTCAATGCAAATCTCCATGAGTTTTGCACCCTAGTTAGGATGAGTTGATTGTTCTCATTTTTAACTACTGTGATTCCAATCTTTTTCAGCATGACTTGTACTGATAACACCTATTCGCTATCAGATATAGCATAAATAATTCCAGCCCTCAAAAGTTTATCTATTTCTTTCCTAACCACATCAGAAATTAAAGGATTCAACCTCTTCTAGCTTTGTTTGATTGGCTTGAAATCCTCAGTCAATAAAATCCTATGGGTACACATAGCAAAGTCTACTCCCTTAATGTCAGCTAGCTACCAACCTAAAGCCTCCCTATTTCTTCTAAGCACTCCTATTAGACTAGTCTCTTCATGTTGAGTTAAAGAACTAGAAATAATGACAGGCAATTTATTCTCAGGCTTAAGATAAGCATACTTGAGATTGGGAGGTAAATCTTTTAATTCTAAAATTAGGGGTTGAACAATAGAGGGAACCAGAGTGGGAAAATCAATAGAGTTAGAGAAACTCCCCTTTGTAGACCATTGTGAGGTGCACTCGCCAGCTTCACTTAGATTTACTATGCTTGCTTTAGTCCTATCAGATGTTGCATCAAGCTCGAGTTGGCCTACAACAGCAACAAGCTTAGGTTGGTTCACCTCCATACCTACATCATTGTTAGAGATTAGATCATTCAAAAATCTTAAGGTATGGGGCATAATTTTAGAATGTGTATGAGTAGCAATTGAGTCAGAAAGTGTTGGCCTTTTAACAAAAGTCTTCAAGACATGAGGTCATGACCTCATACATCCAGGTCGTGACCTCAACTCACAAAGGCCACCCTCTCGACAATTCAGGTCTGAAGTTGCGACTTAAGAATCCTCAAGTCGTGACCTAAACTCACAAAGGCTTATATCCTCAGATTTTACTCCACTCTCAGTACCAACCATATCTTGAATACTTGTATCATTAGTTAATATACCCTTTCCAAGGCCAACATCAGTTGTAAATGCAGAAATGGAATCAAAACTTGAAGGAAAAGAAAAATCTTGAGAAATGGAAAGCATGCTATCAATTTCTAAAGAATTAATACATGGCACCTTATCTCCACAAGAGCTAGAAAAAGAATAAATAGAAGAAAGGGAATTAAAGCATTCATCATATGTATTCAAAGATGAGTCAAGCTTATAGATTTATGTGATGATACAACAAAAGAATCAATCAATTTAGGTGAATACATGTCATAACCATAATACATGTGCAGTTCATGCTTATCCCTAGCTTGCTTAACAGCTAAATCAATGGCATTTAAACCCATGAATGTAGAGTTATCAAAGGGGTAATGCATAGCTTCATTCATATTAAAAGTTACAACATGATCCCGTAGTTCCATTGTTATACAACTATGCTTCATGCTTATGATGGTTTTGAAAGTTTGCAAGAAAGGTCTTCCTAGAATCAGAGTACTCTTATTTGCAAGTTCATTCGATATGTCCAAAACATAGAAATCAACAGGGAATACTAGTCTTTAACTGAACTAGAATATCTTTTATGATTCCCTTAGGGTACTTGATAGACCTATATGCTAATTGGAGTACTACACTTGTGTCTTTGATACCATTTATCCCTAAAGCTAAATAAACTGACCAAGGCATGACATTTATAACAGCCCCTAAATCTAACAATGCTCCCTTAATATGAACCTTTCCTATGGTACAGGGGATGGTGTAAGATCCAGGATCTTGGCACTTAACCGGTAGTTCAGCTTTGAATAAGGATAACACATTAGCACTCACTTGAATTCTCTCAAGAGGCCTAAACCTTTGCTTGTCATTACACAATTCCTTTAAAAGCTTAAAGTATTTAGGATTGCCTCTCAAAAATTGAATTATGGGCACATTAATTTCCAGCTTATTAAAAAGAGTGTAAGCATTAGTGGCAAGCTCACCATCAAACTTTTTCTTACCAGAGAAATAAACTTTAGGGAAAGCGAGATCTTTAGCACTTATCTCCTTATTTAAAGGCTTAGAGGCTCCTTACATGCTCGTTTCGACGTTGTCCTCTTTCTGCTTGCCTTTGTAAGCAAAGCTCTCTACAATGTTTTCATCTTCTGGCACAGCTCCTTGAATTACTTGGTCATGTGCTTGAGTTGGCTTCTCTTCTGGGCCATTTTGTGCCCTTGCCCTCTTCATGAGCTCCTTTTCTTGTGGGCTTTCAGATTTTCTAAGTCTCATTGGGAAAAGCTGTAACATCTAAACTTTTAAGCCTAGAAGTACCAGAAATAGCCTGAATTGGATAGGCTACCAGACCCCTTTTGAGCAGAAGTCCCAAAGATGAGAAAGGAAGTCAAAGCAGTTTTAGGGACTAAACTGCAAAATAAAAGTTTTCAGGGACTCAAGTATAATCAAGGCTAGAGGCTCTAGTAAAGTCTTAAGGGCCTAGAAAGAGAAAAGAGAGTAGAAACAGGCCAAGGGTTAAGTTAGAAACCTCAAAGAGAGGACCGTATGAAGTTAAGTCCAAGCAGGGACTAAACTGTAAATTCAGAAAGTTATGACCAACAGGGGTAAAAATGCAAGAGTATACAGAGAATTCCAAGAAAATCCCAAAAAAATGGGAAATAATATTCTAAGGCTCTTCTGTGAAGAGAAAAGACGAAAATACCCCTGAGGTAGCTTAAATGGAATTTATGAGCTTGTGGCCGGTAAAAAGTAAATTATTCGAGGTAATCATTTAAAATAGCAAGAGACCTCAAAAATATATACAAAAATGAGATTAAATGGTTGGAAGGTTGTACTAATTTATAAAATTAGCCTCGCAACCAAAAGGCCAGTGGAATGGCTTTAATAAATTAAAAACCGGTTGTACCGATAAAAGGGTATTTTAGTAAATGAACTTTTATGCAAGGCTTAAAGGAAGTGTTATGGCCTCAGAAAATTCATAGGTACTCTCTAGAATTAAAGAGAATTTATAGAGCAGATAGAAGAATTTTTTAAGCTCTGAAAGGCTATAAAGAATACCGGAGAAACGTGGGCCAAGTAAATTCGGAGGAAACTTAAGGATTAAGTTTTGATCCAACGGCTAGGATCTAATCTCCCTTCTCCTCCACCACTTTTGTGACACTTGGAATCTTCTAGAAGGATGAGATAAGGATGATGCAATGATTATGTAAAAGTGAACTTGAAGTTCCAAGATTGCCCTTACCCTTTCTATTAGCCACCAAAGGCATTTTGGTCCATTCAAGCCAATGTTTTGGCTATAAATACCCCACCTTGGAAGAGCATTTTGGTAGCGATTTGTAGAGAGAAAACTCTACCAAAATTTAGAGAGAAAAACATAGGGGTGAAGGCCAAGAAGAAGGAACAAGATTCAAGCTTCAAGATCAAGGTATGTGATGGTT